TTAACCCTAAAGGTGTCGGGCTCTTCTTACATCAAGTGCAATAACATATACGCCCTAAAGGTGTCGTGGCTCTTTCTACCTTAAGTGTAACAACATTTAAAACTTAAAGGTGTCGTGGCTCTTCTGACATTAAGTGCAACAACATATAAACCCTAAAGGTGTTGCGGCTCTTCTTACATGTAGTGCAACAACATATAAACCCTAAAGGTGTCGTGGCTCTTCTTACATTAAGTGCAACAACATTTAAAACCTAAAGGTGTCGTGGTTCTTCTGAAGATCTTCTTACATTAAGTGCAACAACATTTTAACCCTAAAGGTGTCCTGGCTCTGCTTTTTATGCCCAAAGTGATCCCATTTATCCCTAAAAGTGAACCCATTTATGCACAAAGTCAGCCCATTTATGCCCAAAGTGAGGCCTTTTTTTTTTGGTCCAAAGTGAACCTCAAAAATTTATGCCCAAAGTGAATTCGAATTGATGCCCAAAGTGAGCCCATTTGTGCCCAAAGTGAACCCATTTATGCCCAAAGTCAGCCCATTTATGTCCAAAGTGAGCCCAATTTATGTCCAAAGTGAACCTCGAAAATTTATGCCCAAAGTGAATTCGAATTGATGCCCGAAGTGAGCCCCTTGCCTGTGAAAAGTCTGTGGCTAAAAAGTATGTGGGTGAAAAGTCTGCGGGTGATAAGTCTGTGGGTGAAAAGTTTATGGGTGAAAGTCCGTGGGTGAAAAGTATATGGTTGAACAGCCTTGGGTGAAAAGTATATAGGTGAGAAATATATGGGTGAAAGACGGTGGGTGAAGAGTCTGTGGGTGAAAAGTCTACTGGGGAAAAGTATGTGGTTGAACAGTCTGCGGGTGAAAAGTATATATACGGGTGAGAAGTATATGGGTGAAAGACTCTGGGTGAAAAGTCTGTGGGTGAAAAGTATATGGGTGAAAAGTCTTTGGGGGAAAATAGTGGTAGATGGGATGCTGGTTTTCGTTCCCCCCTTCTCATGTTCGTGCCACATTATGTAATGGAACCATATGGTTTCATAATTGTTTCGTTCGTTCCAGCGGCATATTTCGAAGGCTCCGTTGATGATTTGGACTCATTTGGTGGCTGTTTATCGATGCGATGTTCATTTTGATTTGCACAGGTGGGTCGTTCACAAAGCCACCTTGAGATAGGCGGGCGCCGTTTACAAGTCACACTTGCCACCTTCGAGCCAAACGGAATTCGACAGGTATCAACAAATTGCCAGAGGTTCATTGCAGTGACCACATGTAGACATGAACTGCAGACAGTTCGCAGAGGTTCACTCAGTTCACCCACGCCAAGCGCAGCTTCGCTGGCCGAGATTCCAGAGTCACAAATCGAACCTCGACCCAGGGAACCCCTGGATGCATAGCTCCAAGTCTGCATGGCTCCCTGACACCCTGAGTTCAAGAGAGTATTTGCAGGAAAAATGTCTTTGGATGTCTTTGGCCAAACATGGTTGTACCAGTTGTACCATGTTTTCTCATAAATTGTCCTATGTGAACAAAAGGCAGGCTATCGAAGGTTCTTCCCGAATGCGTAGCAAGGGTTCCCATTTCAGGGGATCTCTGGGGGTTGAGGGTGTTTTCGCCAGACGTTGTGCAACCGTTCGCAACCGGGCTGCACCTGTTTTTTTTCCGGGCCTCCCCGGCCTCTCAGGATCCGTTCCCTTGCCATTGCTGCACGAAGTTCCACGGAAATTCTCATGGATACTGCGATGCTCATCGACTTGCCCGATTTTACCACAATGCGTTCTCCAGATGTCATCTCGTGCCATGGATACAGAGATTTGCTGTCATGGTTTTCATATGTCGTGATGCAACATTCAAGTTTTGAAAGAGCTGAGAATAGAATCTATGTAACCACTGGACCACATGTTTGCAACATGCTCTGCAACATGCTCTGCAACATTGTTGAGGTTGTGACCCATAGGCCCACAGGCTCAAATCAACCCCAGACAAACAGCTCCGACTCTGCTGGCATTGCGCTCCGAGGTTTTTCAATATGCAGAGCTGCTGATGATTTTCTTTATACAAGCCACGGCTGATATCGAATCGAGGGGCTTGCTGGCCTTGATTGTCATCTCTTTGCAGCTCGCACTTGAATCACCATGCTGTGCCAACGGCCGGTCACATTTCATTACCACATGTATGTTGTAACATGTTTTCACATGGTGCTGCACACGACCATAGCTGATAGCCGTAGGTATCCTGTGCTCTGGATGAGCCTTGATCGATTGGTGGGAGGGTCGGCCACCTCAATTTGTGTCGTGTTGATCTCGCTGCTCTTCGCATCTGTATCTTATGCATTGCTGCGATTCGATCGGATGCACCGAGCGACTCTGGAACTGTCGTTGGCTTCTGAAGCCATTTGCTCACAGGCACCCCATCAAACCCAAATATGGCAAACATGTGAAGATGGAAATGGATGGAAATGGGGGGGTACCGGAAAACCATGGAAAACCATCGCCAGATTACCAGAGGGTACTGCAGTGCATCGGACAAACCTTTCTAGCAACGCATAAGAAGTAACTCTTTGTCCAAAAATTTAGTTTATAGTTTCAAATCCAAATAATCCACTCAATCCATATAGTTTTATATAGTTTTATAGAGTTTTTCTGTGTCGGAAATTTGGATTCTGAGCCCTGGAGGCAATTCGTCCTGCGAACTTGTCGCACCTTTCTCTGGTCTTTGGAAGTTCCGCTGATGACTTCCCGACAGATTTGCGACAAAGCGACACGGATTTGACGCTGTGAAAACATATTTCAAAATTGTTTCAGCAGAATTTTTTCCCCCATTTTTTGTATTTGATTGTTTTCGCGAAGAAAGTGCATGTTGAGCTGATAGCGGTCTGCATGTAGGTCTTGGCAAGCGACCCCATGCATCGTGAGCCAAGGACAAGCAACTTCCGTCAGGCACGGATTCACTTTCTCAGCTTTCAGACGCTAGGACAAGAAGTTTGGGTGACCATTCAGACTTGGTTCTTTCCAGTCTTTGCAGCCTCAAAAGTACACAATCGGCAGCATGCACGAATGCACGACAGTGACTATCGGTCACTATCTCTTCTCTTCGACCCACTGCAGTCGCAAATTGCAGTGATAAGCATAATCAGTGCATAATCAGTGCATAATTAGTGCCCCATCTGTAGGCAGTGGACATACTCATCAGATCCAGTCCCCTTGAGCATCGTTGAGCATGCAGATCCTTCATTTTTCATAGGTGTCGTAGCTCGGGATTGCCTCAGGAATGCTCTGCGCCGAGCCTTGGACGAAGGTGAAGTGACGAATGCAACAGCAAATGCAAAGATCAAGCGCCTCGCGGACCTAACGAGTCAAGGACGCCTCGGCCACGAGTCAAATGCCTTGAAGTCAAGTTGTGTTTTGTTCAGATCTGTTCAGATCTGTTCAGAGTTGCTCTGTGATTTGGACATGCTCCATTCACATTTCCAGGAGACCATGATGTTCTTTCTTGCGAAATCCATTGTGAATCCCTCCAGCAAGTTCAACTGGTGTGGCTTGCGCTGAGCAAAAGATTTCAAAGCGAAGAAGAACCGTGGAAGATCGTGGCATTGTGGGATGGATTTGCCCAAGAAGAGGAGCGCAGATGCAGCAAGATCGTGATGTCCATGAACGGCCAGCTGGCATATCTTGGCATGTCATTCACTGCATTTGATGCATTTGCAGGCCATTCAAATCATTCAAAACAGGTGCGTTTCGCTTCATTCTCAAGTGGATAAATGTGTTGAAACCGATGATACATATGTCATATGTATGGTGATTCATTTCCAACCTAACTTGCTCTAGCTTGCACATTTAGTAATCGTTGCTGAAGCGTTGCGAAGCTCAGGTTATTTGGCCACTGTCGTTCTTTGTGTTGCCTCCTTGACAAGGCTGCAGAGCAACCTCAGCGAACTTTGCCTTTTGGCGGATGCTTTTGGCCTCTTGGAGGATGCAAAGCCTCGAAGGTGGCTGCAACGTGATGGTCCAAATGCAAAGGGTTCAAGTTCTGGAGACCTGATAGCGAGTTTGCCTCGCAGTTCACAGATTTTGGGTGCTCTTCTTCCGGTGCTTCTGTTACTGGCTCGTTTCATTGCTATGATCACGGCAGCTTATTTCACATGTCAATACCTCTTTCGGTATGGCCCTTCCAGCTTGCACGAAAGCATAGATCAACTGGGACAGCATCGCTTTGTCAAAGTCGCGTTTGGAGAACGCTTTGACGGCTCATGGTGGGATGCCTTGTGCTTATCAGGGCCTTATGCAGTTCTTGTAGTGGTTTTTGCACGCGATTTGCTTTGCTTTTCTGCTCCGACAGCTCAAAAACGGAAGAGCAGACAGCTGTCACAAATTGTCTATGACCGCTATTTTGGAGTTGAAGGCACCTACTACATGTTAAAAGTGGCCTTGCTACAGCTCCTGACCATTTTGCTTCAGGCGTTTGGGAAGCTTCATTTGCTCGGTGGCATTGCACTCTTTGCAGAACAACAAAGGCTCTCAGTTGCAGAATCTTTGAAGGCAGGGAGTTGGATGAAATATGCAACAAACGCATGGTTCAACGATGTTTTCACGGTTAATCAGGTGGATGACTTAGCCCTGAAGGTAACATTCTGGTTGTTTTGGGCGCTACTATTTTGCAACAGCGTCTACCCCAACATGCTCTTCATTTTCCCGGAGAGTATGCGGTGTCGCTACACCTGTGCGGTGCTGGACGTTTTCTTTGATCTGGGATATGTTTTGACCTACTTGGTGATGGTTGTGATCGGGACGACCGAGTTGCACGTGAACGTGTCCGTTTTGGGGTAATTTTGGAGAGCGCTCGCAGTTGGGCTTTAGTAACAGCACCTTGCCACGCATTTGGTGTGATCAGGTCCTTCTGGTGGCTGGTCATGGTTTAGGGTGTTGCAAAACGTTTCATGACTTGGATCTCAGATTGCATCAGGTATCAGTCCCAAGTTCGCTTTCCCTTCAGAGTTCCTCCAATACATGGCAGTCTATGTGAGCATTGCTCACGTGTGCTGCGCTTGTCGCGCTGTTCAGAGAGGGCAAACGCCTGAGTTGGAAGCCGCGAGAGATGTCCGCCCGAAGGTTGTCTGGTCCCATGTGAGATGTCCATGGGTGAGACGCCTGAAGTACATCTACTCACCATGTTTGACGGCGTTGCTTGTCTACTTGCTGATCTGTCAGGATGTTTATCCAGGGCACAGAGGAGACTTCACGTGCTTCCCTTGCCGGTGTTCCGCTGGACGACTTCAAAGCTGTAGCTTGGCAGCGCAACTGCAGCAAGAGCAGCTTGTCATTGCTGGTGTCACCAGCATTGAGCCACAGGCATTCAAACCTTTGGGTTGCCGCCTGTCGCGGTTGTCCCTAGCAAACAATTCCATAACAAGCTTGGAACCAAGAAGCTTTGAGCATCTCCCTTGCTTACAGATATTGGATATCAGCCGGTCAAAACTCAGCACGCTGGCCAGGGACTCTTTCTACGGATTGGAGCAGCTGGAAGTGCTCTCCCTCCATGGGAACGAACTCCACAACATCTCAGGAGACCATTTATCCCATCTGCCATCCCTTGAGAAGCTTCTGCTTGGAAGCAAGCCAGGCTGGGACAATGCAACACTGACAGCTTACGAATTGGAAGCCGGAAACTTGATCAAGTTTCTGCCACCCCGACTATTTGAAGGAAATCCGCACTTGAACTATTTCGACGTCAGTGGCAACAACATCACCAAAGTTGACCGAGACACTTTCGTTGGAGCGACAAACTTGCAAGTCCTGGACCTCGGTCAGAACAGCCTGCGACAACTTCCTGAAGGACCGTGCGCCTTCTCAGTGCCAAGCATATTAAAACATAAAAAAAATGCCGTTTTGACTTCTCAAAATGGTTTTGGCAAAAAATGTCTGTGCACTTCCCGAAGGACTCTTTGCTGGTCTCTCGAGTCTCCAGAAAGTGTTCCTGAATCACAACCAGCTCAGTGCACTTCCCGATGGACTCTTTGCTGGTCTCTCGAGTCTTCAAAGTTTGGCGCTGAGCAACAACCAGCTCAGTGCACTTCCGGAAGGACTCTTTGCTGGTCTCTCGAGGCTCCAGACAGTGTCGCTGTATCACAACCATCTCAGTGCACTTCCCGAAGGACTCTTTGCTGGTCTCTCGAGGCTCCAGGTAGTGATGCTAGATCGCAACCAGATCAGTGCACTTCCCGAAGGACTCTTTGCTGGTCTCTCCAGGCTCAACTCAGTGACGCTGTATCACAACAACATCAGTGCACTTCCCGAAGGACTCTTTGCTGGTCTCTCGAAGCTCCAGGACGTGTGGCTGCATCACAACCACCTCGGGGCACTTCCCGAAGGACTCTTTGCTGGTCTCTCGGGGCTCCAGAACGTGTGGCTGCACAACAACCATCTCAGTGCACTTCCCGAAGGACTCTTTGCTGGTCTCTGGAGTCTCCAGAAAGTGGGGCTGGGCGACAACCAGCTCAGTGCACTTCCCGAAGGACTCTTTGCTGGTCTCTCGAGTCTCCAGACAGTGTGGCTGCACAACAACCAGCTCAGTGCACTTCCCGCAGGACTCTTTGCCGGTCTCTGGAGTCTCCAGAACGTGTGGCTGGACGACAACCAGCTCAGTGCACTTCCCGAAGGACTCTTTGCTGGTCTCTCGAGTCTCCAGACAGTGTGGCTGCAAAACAACCAGCTCAGTGCACTTCCCGCAGGACTCTTTGCCGGTCTCTGGAGTCTTCAAGTTTTGGCGCTGGAAGACAACCAGCTCAGTGCACTTCCCGATGGACTCTTTGCTAGTCTCTCGAGGCTCCAGAAAGTGTGGCTGGACAACAACCAGCTCAGTGCACTTCCCGAAGGACTCTTTGCTGGTCTCTCGAGGCTCCAGAAAGTGTTGCTGCACAACAACCAGCTCAGTGCACTTCCCGAAGGACTCTTTTCTGGTCTCTCGAGGCTCCAAGTGTTGGCGCTGCACAACAACCATCTCAGTGCACTTCCCGAAGGACTCTTTGCTGGTCTCTCGAGGCTCCAGAACGTGTGGCTGCACAACAACCAGCTCAGTGCACTTCCCGAAGGACTCTTTGCTGGTCTCTCGAGGCTCCAGGAAGTGTGGCTGCACAACAACCAGCTCAGTGCACTTCCCGAAGGACTCTTTGCTGGTCTCTCGAGTCTCCAGATAGTGTCGCTGGATCACAACCATCTCAGTGCACTTCCCGAAGGACTCTTTGCTGGTCTCTCGAGGCTCCAAGTGTTGGCGCTGCACAACAACCATCTCAGTGCACTTCCCGAAGGACTCTTTGCTGGTCTCTGGAGTCTCCAGAAAGTGGGGCTGGGCAACAACCAGCTCAGCGCACTTCCCGAAGAACTCTTTTCTGGTCTCTCGAGGCTCCAGGAAGTCTGGCTGCACAACAACGGCCTCAGTGCACTTCCCGATGGTCTCTTTGCTGGTCTCTCGAGTCTCCAGAAAGTGTTGCTGCACAACAACCAGCTCAGTGCACTTCCCGAAGGACTCTTTTCTGGTCTCTCGAGGCTCCAAGTGTTGGCGCTGCACAACAACCATCTCAGTGCACTTCCCGAAGGACTCTTTGCTGGTCTCTGGAGTCTCCAGAAAGTGGGGCTGGGCAACAACCAGCTCAGCGCACTTCCCGAAGAACTCTTTTCTGGTCTCTCGAAGCTCCAGGAAGTGTGGCTCAATTCCAACCATCTCAGTGCACTTCCCGATGGACTCTTTGCTGGTCTCTCGAGTCTTCAAATTTTGGCGCTGAGCAACAACCAGCTCAGTGCACTTCCCGAAGGACTCTTTGCTGGTCTCTCGAGGCTCCAGAAAGTGTGGCTGGATCATAACAACATCAGTGCACTTCCCGAAGGACTCTTTGCTGGTCTCTCGAGGCTCCAGGAAGTGTGGCTGCACAACAACAGCCTCAAGGAAGGCAGTGGCTGAAGATATTTACTACTTTGGCTTAAAAATGCCGAGATCGAGTGGGCTGCCATACATGTGGGATATGTTGCTGAACCGCCGTGCAATTGTATCCTGTCTTCCTGTTGATTGGTAAAATTTACCATTGACGCTTGGTTGGCATCACTGCATCACTTGTTACCAGATTTTGATCGCAGCCACACGGTTCCTGTCCCGGCATCCGGCGCTGGGAACCGATGCCAGGTTTCGGGTTTCGACAAGGCGGATGACCTTCATCATCTGGCAACGCTTGCGCCCATGGCGCCGGGCATCACCAAAAGCCATGCATTCCTTGGGATTCTCAGCTGCGCTTTTTGGACTCCTTCTATCTCCTTGCGCTTTTTGGACTTTGAAACTTCGGAGTTTTCGTGCTCTTGGGGCTTTTTTGGGGCCCGGTTGCCGGTGCCAGACCCAGTGCCACAGTGCCACGTTCCGAGGAAGCCCTTTGCGACGACACACTTGCACAGGTAAACGGTGGAAGTGTCAGGGATGGGACATGTGAACCACGACTATGGAATATGGGAGCAAGCTTGACACTAGCTCTAGAACTGCTTGACCCTTTGAAGCATCCCGTTCATGGCAACATCGAGCTTGGTGTTCTTTCAATATGTAACTTGGATATCGTCTCGCTGTTGAATTCATGATTGCAATGGCACAGGAGCATAAGTGTAACATAGTGTAACCATTAGTACTTGGACAAATACGTAACAGCATGAGCTGAACACAGCTGTTGTAACAGCTCACAAATCTTGTCCATTGTCTGAGGGTTCACAGTAGCTTCCGAGAGATGGTGCCCATACCCTGTGAAGCAGCAGGCTTCAGTTCATAGGTGATGCCAGGGATGCGAGCTGTGAGGCTACCAACTTGAAAGGCTGCATACCTACCAGTGGACTTCTGAACCAATTAATTATGGTGGGGATCAAATAATATATTTATATATCTTAACTATTCTTAACTCATGTTTAAATCTTAACTTACGGTGATGCTTACCGAAGTTATACTGTTATACAATTTTATCACCTCAGCTGCAGCTTGGAGTAGCTTGGCAAGTGCCCATCACGGGGTGCATCACTTTGGAATTGGCCCAGGAGAAAGCGCATCACGTGACGGAGTTCTACGGTTGTTCCGGTCATGCGCTTGGAAGTCCATTGGAAACGTTTCAGCCAATTGCTGGGCGACCTGTTTGTACTTCGTTACTTTATTTTCACTTAGTTTGCCATTGCTTACGATGCTTACGATGCTTACGATGCTTACGATGCTTACGATGCTTACGATGCTTACGATGCTTACAGCTCAGGAATTTCCAAGACTTGACTGCGCCAATCACATCGCTTCTGAGCAGGATGAAATCGTTTTTCCCGGAAAGGTTTTACAGCAACTAAAACTGCAACTCAAACCAAACATTCATAATAACACGACCAGGTCAGCCTTCAGAGCACAAGCAGACAAAGTTTCTGCTCTACAGATCTTGAAGAACCCGGCGACGCCCACCGGTTCGGCACTGAGATCATAGGGGTGAGGACTTCAATGCACCACTACCACAATGTGGTTGAACAGTTTTGGCGGAAACATCAGCAGACACATGCACATGCACATGCACATGCATATGCAGATGCACGTGCACGTGCATGTGAACTCGAACTTGTTCATGTTTCTTTAATTTGAACTCTCTCACTTTATTTTTTGTCGGTGAGGGCCGTTGGTTTTTGCATGTGTTTTGAGTTGTTCCTTTCCTATCCTTTCCTTTTATCTTTCTTTTTATTCCCAAACCGTTGACGAAACTGCCGTAATCCATGTGTCCACATTCGCGAAAACTGCTGTGACTTCAGCCCTCGACTGAATAAACCCAAGATCAACTGTGCGTCGATTAATTTGTTCCCACAAAACGTAGGTAACGGTCACATAATTTTGTCGATATTGGTTTCCCTGTTGGGTTTGAATTGGCCATAGAATTTTGGTTGAATTGTCCTGAGGGTTAGTTCAGTCATCTTCAGAGTTGAGGCAGACAAGCTCAGATAGGTTCAGATGATTTGTCTTGGAGTCCTTTGGCCAACTTGGAAAAAATCAGCAGTTTGCAACACCCCGACATGTTTTCCGGTATGCTGAACGTGCATATGTACGTTTTTGCATGGTTTTCGTGAAATGGGCAGTTTTCATCTTGTACACTTTGTATCGATGGAAGGATTGGTACATTTTACAAGTTCATAGGTGTCATGAGCTTGTACATTTCACGAGCGATGTTTATGAGTTGTAGATGTCCTGAGCTGAGCTAAACCACTGCATGACCTCACACATTTGATGAGTTGATATTTTGAGCTGATACATGTTCACGAGCTCGCGGATTTTATGAACTGGTCGAGCAATTCACGCGCAAACATGCCACAACGAAAAATGGATCGTAGATTCCAAGAACAAAAAAATCATGAAAAGGCAGCAAGCAACAATTTCATGATTATCATTGCACTTTTGTGACACACAGTTCGGAAACAGATTCTCATGACCAACAGGTTGATGTTCATACTGTCCACAAGCAACAAACAAAACAAACAGTTATGAAGCGCAGTAACAACATGCACTTGAGGAGCCACATGTGGCGGCTAAATGTTTCATAATTTTCACACTGGCAATGTTGTATGTAATGTTGCAGCAAAAAATGTCATGACAGATTCATGGACATTTTATCAGCAGAAAATCTACACATCTTGAGCCAAAGAACCAAACAAATCCAAACAATTGCACTCAATGTGGACAATTACGATTGATGACCATACATGCCATGATGAAATATTGCTGATGATTCAGCATACATTTCATGACCCCGAAGCATTTGTTGAGAAGCTGTTCCATGATCATTCACTGCCAGCTATAGTCAAGGAATAGTAGCTTGTGTGTGTGTGAGATGGTGTGCAAGCGGTTTTCTGCGCTATTTGTCACCATGCCATTGTGGGAGATCCTTTTTTGATCCACTTGGCCAAAGTGTGAAAGGATCGAAAACGCCTCTAGTTTGCAGGACATGGCGAAGAAAACCTGCCTACGAAGATTCAGATTATGTCAGCCGTCAGCCTTATGTGATAACCCCCGGATTCTTTCCCTGCCGTCACCATGCCATGTCCAAGACCATTCGCACAGTGGGATTGTAGGTGGCATGGGATCGCGCCACGTCGGGTACACGAAGGCCCTGTTGGCATGTGACGTTTTGACATGTTTTGACGCTTTTTGTTTTGTGAACATCACAGGGCGACAAATATCGACAAATCCAGGTGGCAGAAATGGTTGCGTGTTGCATGTTGCGTGTTTGACTCCCGCCCCGCTGAGACATTTGTCAAGTTTTCTCCGGCAAAGCCCGGGGTGGTTTGGAGCATTTTGAGTTTGGAGAATTTCAATTTCTGCAATGCAGGGGACTGCCAGTGCTTTGTTTTCATGCACCTTTTGCATCCGAATCCGACACCTAATTCGATCTGCCTAGAGCCTAGCTGCCATGTCAACCAGACGAGTTCACCTTGCCACTGGACCTGTCGACATCGTTGTGGACAATTCCACAGCAGGAGACCCGGTTGGGGCAACATTTTGGCACAGTTTTTTGAAATTGTTTCTGGTGCAGATGGTGAATGGTCACCGGAGGGAGCAAAACAAATCAAACTGTAGTGGATGAAAATTGAACTGGCCGGTTTCGACAGTGATATATATATATATATAATTATATATACACATATATATATATATATATATCATAATTATATACATTGCACCTTTTTTCATGTTCCTTCCGCTTGTCCATTTCCTTCAGTTTGCGGAAGCGAGGAGATGTCATCGCAACTGTCCAAAGTACTTTGCCAGATCAGCCGTGGCATGGCAAGACATTGCTCTCCAGCGGCCCCCGCCGCTTTGACTTTTCTGACCATGTCGATGCGGCGAATTCAGGTTGCGGAAGTTGCGGAAGTTGCGACCTGGTTCTGGCCAATTTTTCGGTCTTGGCGCCACCTCGGCGTGGTTTGCACATTGCCACTGAAAAAAGTGGCATCACCATCCCACAGATACAGACGCTGTTGGATTTTGTCTTCACCATGGTCAACATGGTCGGGGCATGCCGTTGGGCTGAAACCTTCGGTGATGAACGTGGCAGGCCTTTGAGCTTTGAGGCTTTTAACCTTTATCATGCGAACTATTGGATTATTGGACCTGCTACCGCTGCCACTGATGCACACGAAGCGTGCAGTTACGTTGAGTTGCTTGGCTTCAGAAGTTGAGGAACAATGCTTCACAAGGCTTCCTTTCTACCTAACAGCAAAACTTTGCTATGGGGTCTTTAGCCCAGATTAGCTCTGGTGCTATCCGGTGCAGCTTCAACAACAGGTTCCGGGCAAAGTTCCGGAGGGTTCCGAAAGGGTTCCTGTGCAGATGCCCTGTTGAGGTTCCGGAGGATTCCGGTGCAGATACCTGGTGAGGTTTCGGAGGGTTCCAGTGCAGATAGCCGGAACCTCACAGATACCGTGTTGAGGTTCCGGAGGGTTCCATTGCAGATAAATGGTGAGGTTCTGGTGGGTTCCGGTGCAGATACCTGGTGAGGTTTCAGAGGTTTATTGCAGATAGCCAGTGAGGTTGCACAGGGTTCCCGCGCAGGAAGGTTCCAGAAAGTTAAGGTGCAGGTAGCTGGTGAGGTTCCGGAGGGTTTCGGTGCAGATACTGTACCTTGTGAGGTTTTGGAGGGTTCCGATGCAGATACCTGGTGAGGTTGTGGAGGTTTCCCGTGCAGATAGTCGGTGAGGTTCAGGTATTCAGGAAGGTTCCGGAAAGTTCGGGTGCAGATGCTTTGGAGCTCGATGCTTTGTGAAGTTCCAGAAGGTTCCGATGTTTTTAATGGCATAAGCATTTCATTTTTCTTGGGCAGAAACACTTAAACGCAGTATATGATGCACCCATATACTTGTAGATTTACTTTGCAGGAGGGGGGGCAGAGCCTGGCAAAAAAGAAGTCGATCCATAAA